TGAATCACGTACAACAGACAGTGTAAGGACTGAAACAGCCACTGTGTGGGACAGGCAGGCAGAAGGCTGGCACAACCCATCCATGAACGCCAACTAGCAGTCAGAAGACACGATGAAAACTCCTTAATCTCACAACACATGGATAGACTCAACCATAGTTTCAGTTGGGGAACTGTCAGCTTCTTAGACCAAGCTAAAACCCAAAACACGAGGGAATTCCTGGAAGCTTGGCATTCAGACAAGTCAGCCATCCATCGACACATAGAGATAAACCCCATTTACACGACCTTCAATAGCGACAATAAAAAGCTAAAAAGGAAACGAAAAGACCAGAACACCACCTTGCCAGCAATCATCACCCAGATAAGCAGGGATTAACACCAGACAAACAACCAAGCAGAAACCCCAATCTAGGAACTGCCAAGGAGAAGACCACACCCCAGCCACACTGGCAGGGCAAGCTACTGTATATAAACAGGGAGCAAACCCCTCACTCCCTCGCACTGATGATGCTACCAGTCAGGTAATGAGATGTCTGCAAGCAAACCACCAAGCTCAGAGAGCACCAAGGACCCCACACTTCAGCCGTGAGCTACATATATTCTCTTCTATTGAAAGTGTTGCTTTCATGCCAAAATACCATAGCCTGACTTCAACCTACCTCAGTGGCAGGCTGGCAACAAAATGGAGGCTGCATTTTGAAGACATGTCTCAGAGTCTGGGAAAGGTTCAAGAAACAGGTCAACCCCCTAGTAATTCCTGAGTTATCTGGGGAAAGAGCAGCCAGCTCTCCATTTAAAGTAAGGTCCTCCTCAAGAAACTGAGAAAGTTGCCAGCCTACATAAACAGCAGAATAATTTGTGCTCAGAAGTGAAAATAAACCCTGCTCTCCTCAAGGGGAACTGCTGACCATCCGAAATGGCTACTTAAAAACAGTCATGCCACAGGTCCAGAGTGCGGCCATCAGACAGACACCAAAGGCAGCAGCAGGAAGGAATGGTTGCCACGTTAAGAAGTGAACATCCAAAAGGGAGATGCACTCTGGAAATGCTCCTCTCTACTCACTCATTCACTTTATTCACCAACAGGGGAAAAAGTGCTGGGTGACGTTCTTCCTTCTGCTTATGGATAAGAATACCAACTTTCTGGGTTTTTTTGTCCTATTCCATTGGAAAACATGACTTCCATCCTGGAATCCTCTAGCCCAACTTGAATCAGCCTCAGCAGTGGGCTGGCATCAACATGGAGGCAAAGTCATGAGGACATGTCCTCAGCAAATGGGAAGTGGTATTTTCACGCCGCGGAAGTGGACAGCGGGTAAGCCCTACACAAATAAATAAATGTTGAAATCTCCATGACCCAGTGTGTGGCATCCTAGGGAAATGAAGGAACTACTGATGGTCCAACTTTCCAGCAATCCTGGAGCGCTTGCACCAGAAGACTGGAGAAAGACAAATTGTTGTTCTGATCTTCAAAAGCATGAATAGGGAGATCAAGAAACTGCAGACCGAGCTGCCTGACATCCATCCCCTGGGAGAATTCTGGAGCAGAAAATAGAGAGGTCAACGGTATATACAAAGACAAAACGCCTAGCTTCTACAAATTTTACAGATGGGGATGGGAGCGGTTTTCAGTGTGAAGGGTAGGAGTGGGACACGCTCCTTGCTGGTCAGAAGGAGACCCCTGAGCAGACCTGTGCTCTTCTACGTGCAGGAAGGGCAGGCAGTGATCGGCCATTGTTTCTCCCCAAGCGTTGTGGACTGCAAAGCAAGAACCGTGCCTGTCCTCAGAGCGTCCTGCTCAAATTCCATTCTCAGACTGCTCAAAGCCCAGTTCACTGAAAGTCCATGATCAGAAGTCTTAGGCCACCAAAAGACTAACAACTGAAAGAGCCCTAAGAGACAAATTGAAAAGGAGTCAGATACTGGCAGTTCTGCTGATTGTCACTGTTTAGTGGGCATCTGTTGTCTGTTTCTAGCTCTTCACCCCTTTCTTCACTTGCCATCTTGTAGATTAGTCCTAAGTGTTTGCTGAGAAGCACAAGGCCTAAGGTTTGCCTGGGGCCTGAGACAATAGAGTAATTAAAAGCTTAAACTAAGCCAAAAAGGAAATATGGCCCAATTTTGCCATGTGACATGCAAGTAATAATTTTAAAATCTACCGAAAAGCATCTTTTCATGAGCGTAAGGTACAAGAGTGCATTACAGTTCAGAGAGTTGCTTGCAAAAGCTTTCCTATGCCAGCCAAAATTGCATGTAGAACGCATGTCTGGAAAAGATAAATGAAAAGTCTTAATAATTTTATTAATTTTATAAAGGTTGGTGGTTGAAGAACCACACGTGACATTTGCACAAATAAAGATGAACTAAATTGATATTTTCCCCCACGATTAGTAATAACTGTGGTTGCTTTTGAAAAACCTGCCCGAAAGGCCACACGCTTCTAGGAATGACCAAGGCAGGCGGAGA